GAAAGCCCATGTTATGTAAATGAGAACTATATGTATAGTTGGCATGCCAAGGGTAGAGGGTCTATGTATGTATTCTTTGGAACATGTGTGAGGTCTGGTGAGACACATACTTGATCCTTGGCATATGTATATGATTCTTAAGGAATGATATGTGGTCCTTCGGGACATATATGTATTCTTTGGAACATGTGTGAGGTCTGGTGAGACACATACTTGATCCTTGGCATATGTATATGATTCTTAAGGAATTATACGTAGTCCTTATGGACATTATTATATGGCACTATGGTGCAATTCTACGCGGCACTCCGGTGCAATTCTACGTGGCACTTAGGTGCAATTATATGAGTTGTGGTGACAGCATAGTGCACAACCTCACAATACTCACATACCTTAGGTTCTCTGTATGGTACCATGGGCTAATGAACTTACTAAGATGAACTTATGAATGTAAATTTGATAAGTATATGTGTAAGAAACATGGTTCTGGTTATTGCATTGTTTACATACATCTTATCATTTCAACCCATCTTATTTTGGCAATTACTTTATATTTATCGATATTATTATTATATTGCCTCACTAAGTCGATGACTTAGCGTGTGAGTGTTTCACACGTAGGATCCGATAAAGTAGACGATCGAGGTTAAGCAGCTGGACAACATTACTCCTGCAACTATCAGATCAGAACAACTTAATTAGTAGGTATTTTGTTATGAAAATGGATGTTGGCATGTAACTAAAGAGTTAAGTTGTGTATGCTCTGAATATTTTATTAAACTTATATTACCATATGTATATTATTGTATTTTTCGTAATATAAGTTCAAATATTTTTCTATTATTTGTAATGAGTTGTGTTTTAAAAGTCAATGTAATATCTCTGACTCGTATCCGGGTTGGATACGGGTTGGGGGTGTTACAGTATACGACAAGATTGAATGGATAGATTGTATGTTCATATTCATACTGAATGCATTATTGTTATATTTATATGTCTCACTAAGTCTATGACTTAGCGTGTAAGTGATTTACACGTAGGTACCAAGAATCAGGAAGAGTGGAAATAGGTTGCAAGAACAGCAGCACTGCTAGAAGATCATATCAGAAGTAACAAATAAAGTATGTCTTTTGTCGTGTATATGGTTGGCATGTAAGAAAAGTGTTTGTTACAAATGCTTGATCAGTTTTGTCTTGTTTTGGTTAACTTGTGTAAAGTAACAATGTTATTTTAATGAAAGTTTTAAATCTCCTTGATTTTTCGTCAATAGTTAAAGTTTGAAAAGTCAATGTGACACCTCGGACTCGTATCCGGGTCGGGTACGGTTGAGGGTGTTACATCAAATGTGAGTTTTCTATTTAGTTAATTTATGGTTAAATTTAAGGTTTGGTTATGATCATTAGATGATAATTAAGCTTAAGGAAAGCTTAATTTGTTCTAAAACAACAAGATGAAATGTATAGAAAAGATTAAAGAAAATCGGTTTTTAGAGGAATTTTTGGAAAAGAGTTAATAAGTGAATTTTGAGAAAAATTTGACTTGTCATCACTAAGAATAAGAGATTTATGAAGTTAGAAAGGATTAATAACAAAGTTGAAAGTTTAGTAAGATTCTTAATTTTAAGAATCATGATGAGATATGGAAGATAAAAATGATTTATATAGATATAAGTTGGTTTAAGTAATGGTAGTTGAGTTTAATGGCATGATAGGCGCTTAAAATAGAAGAATTGAGTGAAGAGTTGATGATTTTCGAACTTAAAAGGTGATTTTCTAGGCTAGGGGCATCGATACCCATTCAATAGGTACCGATACACTCTTAAACGAAATTTACAGATTGCAATAGGGGTACCGATACCCTAGGGGGAGGTACCGATACCACCCTAAGAGAAAATGGAATTAAGTTTTTTGTTTAGTCCAATAAATGAAAGTAACACTTTCTTTAGTTCAAGAAATGAAATATTAGAGTATATCAATTGGAATATTGATATGGATATATGTATTGTTATGTAGATATAGAACGTAATCCCATTATGGAACAATAAAAGAATTAGGATTAAGTCAAAGCAAGCAAGGCTAAGGTGAGTGCAATTTAATTGTACTTATGTTAACGAACAAACATTGGCTTGCGATGAGCCAGTGACGGAGTTACTATGGTAAGAAGTGACTCCTAAATGTTATTTGATTTGTGATGCATGCATAACGTTATACATGAATGTTTGAATACATGATTTCATGAGTGATTATAGGAACATGTAATATAAGATACGTGAATTCAATATAAGTGAATACATGGAAATAATATATAATTAATGAGATAAGTTATATGCATTGATATACAGGCTATATAAAAGTATGTACATGAATACATATATAAGTTTATATGTTATTTTATGTGTTATGTGATGTATATATGAACATATGAGAAATGATATAAGCTATATGATAGATGATATGTGAGTGTATTCAAATGACATATGTTATATGATATGAAAAGGATGATCATATGCACATGTGATATGAGATAGATGTTTACACATACATGTGGTATGTGACAGAAGAAAAGAAATATGTGATCATAAGAAATGATATGAGTACATGGATATATGAAGCATAAGAAAAATGCCCATGTTATATGATAAATAAAAAAGGGTTAAAAACGTACCCATTCGAAGCACCATTAGACGCTCATCTTCACTCTTGAACTTATTCAAATAGTTTGCGTCAATAAGTCGTAAACAATACCAGTAATAAATACTGGGGGTTGGCAATATGGGCACATACGCTGGAATGCGTATTTGATACCAGCGCCTCTGTCAAAAATAAGACAAATCCATTCATCTTTATCCTGTAGTGTATCGGTCGTTTTGTACAATCGCCAATAACATTATTTGAGTGTATCGACCATATAACCAAGTGTCGTCGATTTGAACCACTGACTTGCAGTGTTGAAATGCATTAATGCATTGCAGAAAAGTCCAAAAGAGCAGTAGAATTGGCAGACACCTTGTACGACACGATCAATTTCGTACACCGAGACTGTTTCCAATTCACAACTGTTCCCGGAATGTGTTTATGCATCAGTTTAAATCATGGTCGTAATTCATTGTATGATTCCTCTCATTGGCCGAACAATTTTTGTTGGGCCTGATACCTTGCATACTATGATTTGTGGTAGTTAATTGTGTAACCGTATAATGATGTAACCGAAGAAATACAGGTTGCAGCCATAACATGTGGATTTGCTTTGAGCATCGGAATAAAGGGTTCAGAAAGCACGTGCACATCCAAGTTACGTTGATCTTGATTCATAATCCTTTAATACGAGCTTTTATCTTATAAATTTCAAAATATATTATAATTATAATTATAATATTATTAATTATTAATTATATTTAATATATTATACATATAATTTTTCATTATTTCAAATTTTACAAAATATATATTTAATAATTAATAGTATTCATTATTATTATATTTATTTATTATATTTATTTGTTATTAATTTCAATTTGAAATATCCTTGCGCGTTTCCGCCGCGAATTCCCTTATAAATCTCGCGATATTTTGATTCTCAGGCTACGCCCGCTTCGCAAAGTGTGAGGTCATTTTATCCAATTATTTTATTGGCTTAATTGAAAAATCCCCCACATCAAACGTATCTCGCGTATTGAAAAATATGAGAATTTAATACGTTATTTTCATACCACGAGGTCATTTATATGGACGATTCATAGATTATTATTTAAAATAATTTTTTTTAAAAACTTTATTTATTTAAATAAATATTTATTTGAATTTTTAATATAAATTACGGGATTTCACAGTACATTGAAAGATCATGTCACTATACTCGGACACCGATCCACAGTGCTTACTTTCATTATTGATGTTAATTTTGACTTATGTTTCAAGATTTCCCAGCCCCCAAAGCCTTTGATGGTGGGGATTTTTTTATTATCTCCAAGCTCAGAAAAGCAGCCAGCACCAGGGCCTAATGCCCAGACTAGCAGCTAAAAGGAGTTTGAAAAGTGCAGTGAGTGAGTGGTGCAATCAAGATTTCCTTATTTCGAGCCTTTGCTTCCTTTGCTTCCTTTGCTCAGTTTCACAGATATCACCTCAAAGTTTAATAATATATATAACATTAAATGCATAAAGAAAATAAATAAGATGGCGATACTGCATTACTGTGTGTCGGATAGGATTTACTACATCCTATTAACGTGCGCATCTGCAAATCTAAAGAAGAGAATCAGGGACCAAAAGATCATCTTAATTGCTATCTTCGATGATCGTCCAAATGGACGTCCAAGATTTAATCAAGGGTACATTAGCCTGCGTCTTCCCCCCAACCAACCTGTGCAAAAAAGTTGTAGTCATTGTTTTCTCTTTTAACAAACTCATTTAAGATTGCTGCAGTCCTGAACGTGTCAGTCATCGATGTGCATAAATGGGACTCCTGCCACTGGATTTTCCATACCCTTAATAAGAAATGGAAACTATCTGTGGTTAAAAGGCACTTCAGTCTAGGACAAAAAGTTTAGATTTCCATTGATTTATAGATCTCTTAAACCCCAAAGTGGCAGCTATACACCACTTCAAATAGTATTATATTACTGGAATGACTTGAAGGTGAGGGTAAAGAGATATTAGCTTGTGAGAAGCAAGAGTGCGATAGGCTAGATAGGGGAAAGAGTGTAATCTCAGAAAAGGGTTTTTGATCTTCAAGCTTTTTTTCCTTCTTTCTTTTAACCATGTGACAATAAACCAGAATCACTTGTTTGTGAAGCAATATCTTCCCCATCCATGTCAATGCACTAGATAAGCAGGATGTAGGGTTTAAAACTTTTTGGTTTTTCAAACTTCGGGAAATGGGATTTTGTGTTTTTCCAGGGTTTCCCAACCACATTATATACCCAACAATAACCTTGAGGTTTCTCTCACATTGCCATCATAATTAGTCAAACAGCAACATCACCATTTGAGGGATTTGAAGATATGCGGGGAAGGCTGTTTTGTTTTCTGTTGGCTCTTCAAATAGCAACGAGCCGGCCATTAGCACCAAACGATGGCTTGAATTATCATCAACCAGGTCAGCTGAGCTAAAACCAATGATTGTGTCTATTCCCTTACCTAAATTAGCTTATTACCGACATGTCATCACCTTTTGACTGCATTAATCTTTCTCCATTTTGATCAATCACAGGCCAGAAACCAGAGGCTTTACACGTCTCCTTGAGCTCAAGAGAAACGTCTTTGCAGAGTTTGAAAACCATGGAAAGGGGTGGCGCCACAATTAAGGAAGAGAACGGTGAAAGGGAGAGTAAGGTGGTGCTTGGGTCGAGTCCTCCAAATTGTGAACACAAATGCTATGGGTGCACCCCGTGTGAAGCCATTCAAGTGCCTACTACCACAAGCACACGAATCCACGTGGATCTGCAATATGCAAATTATGAACCCGAGAGTTGGAAATGCAAGTGTGGTCCGTCCTTTTACAGCCCATGAACTAAGCCACAATCGACCTTGATGTGAAAGGCGCTCACTGCTCTGAGTTCACCATATTTCTCCTCTTTCTGTTTGATTCAGATGATTTCTTCAAACATTTGTACAAAAGAAAAATCCAAAATTCAATTTGTCCCCGTTTCATTACTCTACTTGCAGATGATTTCCTAATATTTGACCGAACTCCAAGCCATTTGCACGTTTAACTAGTTGAAAATTTGAAACTTTAACTTGTAACTTACACGTTGTAAATTGCGAATCAATATATGAGTATTATTTGACGAACCTACATTGAGAAGAAGATAATTTCATAAATTTATTTATTTGAATAATATTTATCTTATTTCAATGACACTAATTTCTAACTCATAAACTATAGACCTTAAATCTTAAAATATAAATAAAACACATGATAACGTTAAAATCGTCTTTATTAAATAAAAAATCCATTAATTATTATTTTTTGAACAATAACTCTCTTAACATATTTGTTAGAAAAATAATCTCATTTGTATACATGTATGACTAACTTGCATCTTACCTAGCGTGTGACCATATCTCATATTTCACAGGACGTGAGGTACCATACACTTTTCAAATTATCTAATTTAATATGATTATTTAGTAACTCGTGTTTCTCAGAACGTGAGGTCCTCAAGATATTGAATTGTCTCGAGAAATTAATCGCGAAAAGTATTTATGTACTGTGCGTTTTCCAAAAAGTGAGGTATTTTATAACACCTCCAACCCGTACCCGACCCGAATACGAGTCTAAAATATCACATTGACTTTTCAAACTTTGACTCTTGACAAAATAAAAGAAAATTTAAAGCTTTCATAAAATCAAAGTAGTTTAATTACATAAATTGACCACAATAACCAAAATCGATCAGAGCATAGTTAACTCAATCAATTAGTACATGCCAACTGTATTCAAAATAACCAAACACATTTAAATCATTTATTTTCTGATCTGAAATTTTGTAAGGGAGATGCTGATATGTCTTGCTCTTCTTCGCTTCTCTTCTCGCTTCTGTAACCTACGTGTGAAACAATCACGCTAAGTCTATGACTTAGTGAGGCATAAACAATCTGACCATAGCATATCATAACTAATTCCTATTATGCACATTTCATGTAATCATGATAACCCATAAAATGCATCCAAACATAAATAAATATATATATATATATATACCAGGTACATACATATTGCTTCACAAAGAAATATCCATATCTTCATATAATTCAGGTAACATATTTCTTAACCCAAAACATATAAATCATATGTAGTAAATTTCCCATTATCTCTTTAATAGTCTCATTTTCTTCTTTATCTTTTAGTCATATGTTCTTGTACCTATTTTATTTAACTAAGCTATATACACATCACCATCATAACACCTATATCATTTCACCATAAAGATTACAAACAAGGCACATAATATCATACAAGGTTCTTTTATATCATCTTCTTTATTAGCCCATGTACACATGTGAGAACTATAGATATGTGAGTCTATAGAGGTTGTGAACTAATGTTGTCACCACAGCTCGTATAAATGCACCGGAGTGCCACGTAGAATTGCACCGAAGTGCCGCGTAGAAATGCATCGTAGTGCCATATAAGATGTCCCTAAGGACCACGTAGAAAATTCCTTAAGAATCATATACATATGTCAAGGACCAAATATGTGTCTCAAAAGGCCTCATACATGTTCCAAAGAATACTATATGTCCCGAAGACCGCGTAGACCCTCGACTCTTGGCATACCATCTATACCCCTAGCTCTCATGACACATATCATGGGCATTATCTTTTATCTTTTTTTTTCATTTTCATATAAACATATCACATATTCATATAACTCGTAGCTTCATTTACATATACATGTAATCACGTAGTTCATGTAAATTCTCATATCATTTCGTATTCATATATCTCATAGCATATAACATTTCTCATGTGTTCCTATAAACATATCATACATATCAGGCATGTTTACACAACTCATTTTTATATAACTTACATGAATCTATATTCTTTTTCATATACTCATATAATCGTATAATATAACATTTCATATAACCTCATATATCATATCACATAGATACATACTCCAGTACTCATAGTTACATATCACTTAAATTATTCATATTTACATAATTCATGGTCATATAACTTCTATCACCAAGTCACTTATCTCTTATTAATATATGTTCATATTTATCATATAACACATAAGATTTATTGCATATTTATATCGCATTCCTACATCACTAATTCATAATATAATTTATATCGTATCATATATCTTATTCTTTATTTCTTAGTATGCAATTACATTACATAATCTATATTATACTTATAAACATATATATATATATATATTACTTAATTTACTTACACGTGGATCATTATCATACCTAAATCATATAACACCCAATTTTTCCTCATAAAGTTATAATATATATTCATATAATCTCATATTATCCTATAAGTAAATACTTATCTTATGGTTTGGTATCTTCATTTATACTCAATTCCCTTCACTAATATATTATTCTCATATTACTCTATAGTCTAATCTTATTTAACTCATCACGTTTCTTATGTAGTCATATAAATCTATTATATTTATTCTTATAATTGATCACGTATACTATGTAACATATATGGTCACCTATCACATAACCTATTTCACATTCCCATGTAATCATATAGATGATTCATATTAATTCCTATAATTTATCACAATACATATATTCACACAAATCATTTAATACATATCTGTAATATATATCACATATACCCAAATCAAACATATGCATATGATCATAAATAAATGCATTCTAATATAGGAAATAGACTCATCGCAAGTCTTATTTCCATTAAACATCATAAACTAACTTGTATACACTCACCTTGGCCTTACTAAGTTCCAATCCCCTTTTATGATTTCTTTTATTCCGATCGAATCTTAACTTGATGGTCATCCCGTAACTTGTTTGTGCTCGATATCTACATGTTTATACATTGATACATATCAGTATTCCATAGATATAATCTAATCTATCATTTATTAGATCAAAAGATATGTCTATTTCAATTTCCCTTTGAAGTGCATCGATGCATTCTACAGTGTATCGATGCATTCTACAGTGTATCGATGTATCCCTTAACATGTGCTTCGATGCACTCCTTATGCATCGATGCATTAATTGCATTCGATGTTTCCATTTTTAAGGGTGCATCGATGCACTTCCTGTGCATCGATACACACTGAACAATTTTTGGAAATTTACCCTTGATGCATCGATACACATTGAATGTGCATCGATGCACATAGCCCAGAACTGTCATTTTAGCACGAAAATAATCAACTCTTCCCTTAATTCTTCTATTTTAAGCCCCTATTATGTCATTAAACTCAACTACCATTACTTGAACCAACTTATATTCATGTAAATCATTTTAACCTCAAAATCCTATCTTTCTTATGAAATTCAAGAATCATACTCAATTTCTAACATGTTCCAAATTCCATTTTATTACTTCATATCTCTTAATTAGATTGATGACAAGTCAAAATTAACTTCCAATTCAAGTTATGAACTCTATTCCAAGATTTCTTCCAGAACCTCAAATCTTTAATCCCTCCTAACTCCATCATACTTTGATTTTAAGATAACTTAAGCTTAATTATCATCTAATAATCAAAAACCAATCTTAAATTTAACCAAAAACCCAATAATCAGAAAACTCACCTTTGACTCTTGGTTTTCACGCGTGAAGGAAGAAGAAAGATGAAGAGAACTCTGGAACTTATTTTCCCTCTTCCCACGTGGTTCATTATCTTATAAGGGAAAAATAAAAATCTTCCTTATCAAATGACCATTTTGCCCTTTACTTAATCTAATAATTGCTAACAACTTTTATGATTTATTTCCAAATAAATCATTGAACTAATCCATTATTCTACTCTAGTCACCAAATTCTGAAACTTTACAATTTGATCCCTAACCTGGTATTGAGGATGTTACAAATCTCCCCTCCTTTTAAAGAAAATTCGCACTCGAATTTTCACTGAACATATCAATAAGAACATATCTTCTATTGTTCTCATGTTACTTCCTTTACTTAATCTTTCCTTCTTTAATTTCTTCAACTACCTTTTTCCTTTATACATTTATCTACTGTTACTTATCATATAAACAGTAACCCATAACCTCAATCTATTTATGTTTTTTCTCTCATTGATTCTGCATTTTCCTTCGACCTTTCTAAAATCCATATAATGTCACTCATTACAGTAACATCCATTTTCATCACTCAACGTCATAAATTCATCTCTAACTGCCTTACAATAATAACCAAATTCGTTTTCCATCATCATTTAACCAAAATCACGACCTTAAATCTTCTTCAAATGTAATTAAACATATACTTTACGGAATCAAACAATCTTTTTACATCACCTTGTACATTTTCTTACTTCTATATCAAAATTATCATCTACGCACTACAGCAAAATGGGTTTTAGCGGCATATTTAGCAGCGTTTTATGAGAAAACGCCGAAAAATAATGTACTTTAGTGGTTTTTATACAAACGCCGCTAAAGGTCGTACTTTAGTGGCGTTTTAAGCACAAAAGCCGCTAATTACACGTATTTTAGTGGCATTTTACGCATAAACACCGCTAATTACACTCACTATAGTGGCGTTTTTATATAAACGCTGATAAATACTGTACTTTAATGGCGTTTTTATACAAAAGCCGCTAAAGGTTGTACTTTAGTGGCGTTTTAAGCAAAAACGCCGCTAATTACATGTTCTTTAGTGGCGTTTTATACACAAACGCCGCTAATTACACGTACTCTAGTTGTATTTTTATATAAACGCCGAGAAATACTATACTTTAGTGGCGTTTTTATACAAACGCCGCTAATGGTCGTACTTTAGTGGCGTTGCAAGCACAAACACCACTAATTACACGTATTTT